GTCTAAATGAATCCCTGCTCTGACCACCGGCTCTACCCAACTCCTAATAATCAAAACATTTCCCATTCTAAATTAATAACAAATTTCCCAAAATACCCTTGGTCAAAACCGGTCAAAAATCAACAAAATCAACTGAGTCAACCCACCCGAGTCAACTCAGGCCTCGTATGCGGGGCGTACTTCGGATGTACCCATGGCGTACTCATGGTCTGAAGCATCATGGCTCAAATTGTGTACGCGCAACATACCATTTGGTACACCCATCGTACACAACAGGTTCCTTCTTAATGCATTAAGTGCTTAATACTTGATCTTTTACGTCCAAATACAAAATCCAAGTCCAAAATGTCGTCTTTAACCATAAAGTTTCCAACTTTATGGTCTTGAATGGCCAAAAAGTGTTCAACACTAAAAACCTAGCACATGCATGGAAGGGAAGAAATGATCAAGACCACATTTTTATGTTTCTAAACACCTCAGGATGTCTGAAAGGATAACTTAAATGGATTGGAGTAGCTCGTACTCAAAATACCCAACTAATGGGACCAAAAGGACACAAAATTCATGACTAACTTAGATATATACATAGCTTCATCAAGATAAAAGCTTTTTACCTCAAAGTGATGACAAATGGTGATGAGATGTTGGATCCAAAGAGTCCTACTCCTTCAAGATGATCTTCTCTTCTTCCTCTCTCCTTCAAGGTGACCAAAACACACACACAAAGCTTAATAGTGCTTAAAAGTGGATTAGGGTTTGCAAAAATCGTATTAAGATGTTGTAGGATGATTAGAGATGAGGTTCGAGGCCATAAAGATGCTTAAATAGGGTCCAAACCCTAAAATTTAGGGTTTGAAACGCTCACACGTATGCCCTGCGTATGCGATGTATACTCATCGTACTAGACCCTCGTATGTACACCCAACGTACACAACGTATGTCTTAACCTTAGTACAAATTCCATTATAATTTCCCGACATGTCACGTTTGACGAGACAAATTACCCTTTTGGTTCTTTCACACCCAATGTCGTTCTCAACTACTCTTTCTTAGACATTTATGATACTCCTAACATCACTGCCTCCAAACTCTTGTTCTCTCCTTTTTCAGAATCTCCTCACACATCTACTACCCATGTCTCTGGTAACACTACGCCAACCACTGATTCTCCTACATCGCCTTCTTCGTCTACTCCTGTGAGCAACTCACCTCCTTCTACTCCTGTGTCTTCTCATCCTATGGTGATTTGGGGTCGTGCGGGCATTGTCAAACCAGTTCATAAATTAAATCTCCACACTCAAGATATATCGCCTACTCCTTGTTCTTACTCTGAAGCCTTTAGTGACCCTAACTGGCTTAAAGCAATGCAATATGAATTTAATGCTCTTATTTCTAATAAGACTTGGGTGCTGGTTCCTAAACCTTCTAGTCCTAATATTATCAATTGTATTTGGCTATTTAAAAAGAAAGAGCATGCTGATGGGTCCTGAGAAATATACAAAGCTCGCGTTGTTGGTAATGGCCGCAGTCAGCGACCTGGAATAGACTATGACGATACTTTCAGAGTCCTATGGTTAAACCAACCATAATACGTACTGTTTTATCTCTTGCTGTCTCACAACATTGGCTTGTGCGCCAACTTGATGTGAAAAATGCCTTCCTTCACAGGCATTTAAAAGAAATCGTGTACATGTATCAGCCACCTGGGTTTCGTGACTCCAGATTTCCAGATCACGAATGTCTCATTTAAAGATCTTTATACGGCCTCAAACAAGCCCCGAGAGCACGGTTTCAGCGGTTTGCTCAATTTCTTTTGTAGTATGGGTTCACTAATAGTAAATGTGATAGTTCTCTGTTCGTTTATAATCATGGTAATCATACGACATATCTCCTCCTCTATGTGGATGATATCATTCTCATAGCTTCCTCTAAGGAGTTATTGCACATACGGTTGCCAAGATACTTGGTTCTGAATTTGCTATGACAGATCTTGGAGATTTACACTACTTCCGTAGTATATTAGTTAAGCGTGATTCTCAAGGGATGTTTCTATCTCAGTGAAAATATGCGCTCGAGATTCTTACCAGATCGAACATGCTAAATTGTAAACCAACCCGTACTCCTGTTGACACGTTGCCCAAGCTTGATTATTCCGGTTAGCCAGTCTCTGTCCCTACCCTGTATCGTAGTCTTGTAGGGTCCCTTCAGTCTCACTTTCACGAGACCTGATCTATCATATGTTGTGCAACAAATATGTCTTTATATGCATGATCCTCGTAAACCTCATTTTACAGCTCATAAGCGAATCCTACGATACGTTCGTAGCACCATTGACTATGGGGTTATAGTTATATTCTACTCTAGACAGAGGTCTCATCGCTTATTCTGATGCCGATTAGGCTGGTTGCCCTAAAACGAGATGATCTACATCGGGCTATTGTGTATTTCTTGGACAAAATTTATTATCTTGGTCATCTAAACAATAGGATACCGTTTCTCGTTCACATGTTGAGGTTGAGTACCGGGGTGTTGCTAATGCGCTAGCTGAGATCTCATGGATTCAGAACTTATTATTGGAGCTACATCTTCCTACTACTAGTGCGACCATTGTGTATTGCGATAATGTTAGAGCAGTTTATTTGTCCAATAATCCAGTTCAACATCAAAGAACGAAATGCATTAAGATCGACATCCATTTTCTGCGGGACAAAGTTGCTTTTGGTCAAATTCGCATGTTACATGTCCCATCATCCTCTCAATACGCGGGGCATTTTTACCAAAGGTCTTCCAACATGTTTATTCTTAGATTTCAGATCTAGTTTGAATGTCCATTCTCTACCTCCCATTCAAAATGCGGAGGACTGTTAATGTATAGTTGATGTATTGTATTTTGTCAGGCCCGTTTTCTATGTATTCGACCCATGTCTTGTATTTTGTTATATATTGTGATTTAATGAAAAGGGTTAATTTTTATGGAAAATAATAAAGTTATCACTCTTTACACTTCACTAATCTCCTCCCGATTTCTACCATAAATCAACCAAATGATATGTCTACTAAAGCAGATATATCGAGTAGCTTTCATCTTGTGGTGTCCAAAACTAACTTGGTTTATTTTCCCCTACTTGAGTTTAAGGGGGGGGGGGGGGGGATAGTATGCTGTATTTCGTTTATAACTATATATAGTATATGAGCTATCCTTCTTTCCTTGTATATATATGTATATTTTCTATATTAAGGGGGTGTTTGGATAGGAAAAAAAGAGGGTTTTTATTGCTTATTGCTTATTTCCACCACAATAAGCTAAGTTTAAGTGTTTGGATAAAATCCTTAAAAATCAGCTTATTGTGTTAGGAATAAGCTAAATAAACTAATTTTAATAAGCATCACCCCCTTTGCTTATTGCTTACTAGGTGTAACACCCATGTATTACATAGGTTCATTTAAAAAAAAAATATGACATTCTAAGCATTTGAGAAGCTTGAATTTATAAGAAAAAATTAAAAAAATATTGAATTATTAAAATTAAAGTGTTTTTTCTCTTTTAAGTTTAAGCAAATAATTTAGATAAATAAACAAAGGAAGAGGTTTTAATTTAGAAATTTTAAAATTAAAAGGAAAGTCAATTAATGAAATTGATATACATTTATTATTACTTTTGGTGCAATTAATACATTTAATTAAATATTATATGAAATTTAATAAAATGAAAGCAACCACAAAATGTCATGTGGAAAAGATTTAATTGAAAATAATCACAAAATGACATGTGGCGAAATCAATAAGAGTGTGACATATGACAAAAAGATTTTAATTTATTAGAGTAGATTAATAGAAATGAAAACAACCACAAAATGCCATGTGGAAAAAGATTTAATTGAAAATAACCACAAAATGACATGTGGCGAAATTAATGAGTGTGACATATGACAAAAATATTTTCATTTATTAGAGTAGATTGCTTATTCCTACCACAAATAAGCTAATAAGCAATAAGCTAATAAGTTGATCCAAACACCCCCCAAGATTGCGTTAGACATTTTATCTTTCTTATTGCTTCCAAATTTTAGAGGTTTTATTTGCACTTCTGCATTGGTTTGGAACGAAGTGATAGTTACATCTAGGGGTGTAAACGAGCCGAGCCGAGCCCGAGTCTGACCAAGCTCGAGCTCGGCTCGTGAACAATTAAGTGGGCTCGCGAGCCTAATCGAGCCTAAACGAGCCTATATGTGTGTGTGTGTGTGTGTATATATATATATATATATATATATATATATATATATATATATATATATATATATATATATATATATATATATATATATAGAGGCTCGTTTAAGCTCGTTTAGGCTCGCGAGCCCATGAATTGAAGCTGGGCTCGAGCTCGTTTAATGAACGAGTCTCATATTTAGGCTCGAGCTCGGCTCAGGCTCGTTTAATTCGATCTCGAATCGAGCTTTTAACGAGTCGATCCCAAATAGCTCACGAGTAGCTCGACTATGCTTGGAGAGAAAGGCTCCTTAAACTAGAGTAGTAGGTCAATTGCACTTTTCCCATATCAAAGTATATATATGGATGGCTGATGAGAGATTGGGGCACCATTAAATATTGCTTATCCGCTTTCCAACTTGGAGGGGTTATGTACTGGTTAAAGAATAAGAAAATAAAAAGACACGGCATCTTGATTATGACGTTTGTAAGTAAGATAATACTTGACACTGACCAAACACCAACAGTGATTGACTGGTTGTTAAGTTGACAACTTCGCATTCACAAAGTTTGCATACTTCCATTCATTAAATTCAAAAGGGTATTTGCTAAACGTTTCTAGAAGTAATGTTAGTGGCTCAACTGTTTTATCATCTCCGTAAGTAAGTACCAGAACGATGATTTCAAATGAGTGACAATGAAATAATTAACCAGGAAAGATCCATAGAGTAAATAAAAAGAGAAAGTACAAGATTAAGATGATGATGATAATTGGTAAAAGTGACATGGTTTTAGTAGGCTTGAAGTCCACCAAAGCTTCTACTACTTGTCATTCTGTTCAAAAAGAGTGCATATGAGTTCTTTAAGCTGTATTGAGCTGTGAAAACCCGACCGATCTCTTCCCCCTTCTTCTTGCTCATCTTCACACGTTTTCCCGGTTTCTCTCCTCCATTATCATGGTCATCTGTGTCTGGCTCTTCTTCAATGGTTACCAGCTCAGTATGAATAATCACCTCCACATCCAATCGTGATTCTGTACGCAAACGCTTGCGATGTGTACATGGAATAAACCACCACAACTTTCTACTTCCTCTCTTCATTCTTGTAACTCAGAGCGAATTTTTATGTGTGAGTTTCCTTCAGGAAACAGGTATATGTATTGTTGAAGCATAGGTTTAGAAGGTCATAGACTGGTTCTAAATATACCGTAGAGTTTGTCAAATGCACGAGGAATACTCTTTCTAGAGTTTTTTTTTTAAAACAAAATTTAATTAATAAAATATTTAATAGGAAAAGTATCATCATAGATTGACTTTATTATGATCATATCCGAGAAGTAGCCAACTAGCTATGAAAGTAACCTTGTTGATGTTGGTCACAAGGTCATGGATAAGTAACTTGTCAATTCCATCATATGGACCTGGTATGAGTAGACTTGGCTAAATCAATCAATTACGCATTTACTGACTTGTATTATACTCTTGCTACGTTTTATTATCGTGTCGAGTTTCATGTTTATATTTTCTCGTTCAACCAAAACCCAAAAGAATAATTGTTCAGAAATAAAATATCAACTTGACGTTGATGGTATATATTATAAATTCAAAAGAAATTATTATTATCTAACTACTACATTAGACTACAAATAGTTTAAATGTTCTATACTTGGTAAGATGCATTGAAGTTATTTTAATTTGGCTAATGTTTATGTGTTGACAAGGCAGAATATGAAACATGAAATACTGTTGCGATAGAAACGCTCAATAACAAAGTGGTCTAACACTGATTTTAAGATTACCCTTTTAGACAAACCTTAGAAATTCCCATGAGGAATGAACCCTAGCCTGTTTATGGATTGGCATGATATATGGAAAACAAATAACTTCAAAAAGAAAACAATAAGGAGTTGTTACACATTTGCCTTGATACGTGTTTGAGGAGGTACCTAAGGCCACCTCCATGGCCAGATCCTTTTATGACAGAAATTAGTGGCAGTTTTCTTATTGTCGCTAATACCCTTGCATGGAAACACCCATGTCCTTGCTTGCCATGTTTCCTACGTTCACCCATGTTTTTGATGTCCCTTATAAGTACTTTTGCATTTTTATTTAGTTATTGTATTTATTTATTTTGTAGCAAAGTAGATTAGATTCATTTTAGTACAGTTACACCCATGTTTTCCATTTCTTAGTTTTTAGCTATTTGGGTTGTTATTTATATAGATGTAATTGCTTTGTTTTGAATTAGTTTTTAGCTATTTGGGTTGTTATTTATATAGATGTAATTGTTTTGTTTTGAATTAATGGAGACGAATTTGATGAAACTAATATCTCTTTCACCATTTATTTATTTGGGAGATTAGCCATCTCAAATTGGTCTTATCTTGGAGATTGACCATCTCGAATCGGTCTTATCAAATGGTGCTTTCATTCTCGATATCAATGCCTCAATGTCATCGTTATCCATTAGGCCATGAAGAGTCTTCCGATATCTTGGCCGACAAATTAGCTCAACTCATTGCTATAACTATCGCTAACAACAACCGCCTCGATGCCATCATCGCCAAGTTAACCGAGACCACTGCAATCCTCCCTACCACATTGATCACAAGCAAAAATATAGGGGCTATCTTACCACCTCTAACCACATAACAACCACCGCCACCATTGTTGCCAACACCACCACCGACATCGCCATCACAGCCATTGCTACTAACAACATCAATATCTCTACCGTTAACACCACCGACACTCCTACCGCCACCTCCTCCACAAAAATCGTTGCCATCAACCCTCTCTCCAAAACAAACACTTCCACCTTCGCAACCTAAATTAACATTCGAACAAGTCCGACCTCTCATGCTCCGTTTTAAATTGTTCGCCCAACATTTTTCCGCTCTTGTTACTCGTCATACTAGCTTATGTGACCTCGAGGAAGAGGTCAATTTTAAGGGCGGAGGAATTGATACGTGTTTGAGGAAGTACCTAAGGCCACCTCCATGGCCAGATCCTTTTATGACAGAACTTAGTGGCAGTTTTCTTATTGTCGCTAATACCCTTGTATGAAACCCCCCACGTCCTTGCTGCCATGTTTCCTATGTACACCCATGTTTTTGATGTCCCTTATTATTAGTACTTTTGCATTTTTATTTAGTTATTGTATTTATTTATTTTGTAGCAAAGTAGACTAGATTCATTTTAGTACGGTTACACCCATGTTTCCCATTTCCTAGTTTTTAGCTATTTCGGTTGTTTGGGGTGTTAGCTGTTATGCGTGTATTCACATGTGTGTTTGGGGTGTTAGCTGTTATGGGTGTGGTACGGGCAGCCAACCAATACTTATGATGAAGGAGTACTTAGTTTTATAGGTTTGCATTTCACTTTTTGGGGGAAAATGGTTTGGTTTTGTTGGTACATGGTTGGTTTGTATGGGTAAGTCGTTATTGTATTTTGGTTGTTTAGTGGTCTGATCTATGATTTTTTTTTGTATGTGGGTGTGAAACTTGGATGCCATTGTGTTGGCAGTTTAGTTGTAACACCCCGGTTATTAAATAAATAAAATAGATAAAATTAATATGAATAGTAGCCCTAAAATCCATAATATTTAGTGGGGTGTTGGTTTTCGGGAGCCAAATGTTATAATTTGGATTATTCGGGGGTTAAAGTGTAAATTCGAGATTTGTTTTGTAAAGATTCTTAGAAGACAGGGGGTATTTGGTAACATAAGGACTTCAGTTGAAAATAATTTGTAGAGGGAGGGGCTGTTTGGTAAAAGATTGGACTTGATTTGAAAGGGATTTCAGAAGGCAGGGTATAAATGGTAAATTATAAACATAGTTTGAAAGGATGTTTATGGGGAGGGAACATTTCTGCCATAATGGAATAAAGTTTAAAAAGTGTCGGTTATTTAACTGTTCCATAACCCTAACCCTAGGAACCATATCAACCGCCACCTTATGTCTCCCACCACCGACCTCCACCTTCCTTCTCCACCGTCGGTGCCGCCATCCATGTAACCCGCTTTTTCCGATCAACTAGCGGCCACCAAGCGAGCACCGAACTTCCTCCGTTCTTCTTCTTCTCCTTCTTCAACCGTCACCTCCCCTTCTGCCATCGGTGAAGTCGTGAACGGCCGGAGAAAGCCCACCAAGAACGAAGACGGAGCTGTGACCGACGAACACGAGTCGTGCGCGATCAGAATGCTCACGGTGAGGCTATCTTTCATCTCTTTCATTCCTATTAGTTGTATGGGGCCGTAATCGTCGTTTTGGCAGCCGCCGCCGTTGGTCGCCATTTCTGTGGCATTCCGGCGATGTCCCTGCCACCTTGTAGGTGGCTGAATGCGTGTGTGTTCACTTTTAAGGGCTGCTTTAGGAGCTAATAGTGAAGTATGTGCATTATTTTGGGAAGGGAATCAAGATAACCTGCCACCACCACCACCACCGTGAGGTGGTGGCTGTCATCTCCAACCACCATATGCCGCCACAAGTTTTTGTTGATTGAGTGCATAACCCGATGTTGATGTGTTCCAGGCACGTATATGTGTGTTGTTGCTGAACAGAAAAACTCAAGGAAAACCACCATGGCTGCCATGGTGGCTGCCGCTGTTAGCCACCGCTGCTGCTCGCCGTCTCGTGCCATCGCCGCCACCGTACGCCACCAGGTGGGTGGCTGGATTCATGTTACAATCAGAAAGAGTGTATTGTGTGTGGTGTTGCTTGCCCGGATTTCATGAGAAAAACCACCACCACCACCTCCAACCACCGCCACAAGGGTGGCTGGGTGTGTGTGTATATGTTATTTGTGTGTGTACGTTTATTTGGATATTGCATTGTAACATTGTATTTGATTGGAATAATTAAGGAAAATGCGTCACCACCACCGTGAGGTGGTAGCCGCCACCATGAGCCACCATTGACCACCACTACCCGAGGTGGTAGTGGGTGGTGCCCAACTTAATTAATAATTAATTAACCTAAAAACTTAACTAATGGGCTAATTGGATCGCGATTGGGTTGGAAACCCTAATTAGGGTTTAGAAAACCCTAATTTTGGATTTATTGGTTTGGAATTATTGGGACCCGCGTTTTGGGCCATTGGAATTGAATTGTGAATTACACCCGATCGCACCCATATGATTTATCTAGTAGAGTGATGGACTTAATGGATTAAGTCCTTAATGGGTTTAGTGAGAAACACTTAACCCTAATCGTCATTTTATGTGAAAACCCTAATTTTGCTTGGGCCTTGAGTTGGGCCTTCCTATTGGGCTTTGGTGATTGGGCTATTGATGGGCCATCCAAGAACAAGCATATGTAGTAGAATATTTGGATGTGCTTTAGGGTAAGGCTCATGTGAGGGTTTGGGCCCAATTTGGAAAATTGGGCCATAGATGGGCCATAACTGGGCCTTAAGTATCACGAGAGGTTGGACCATTGGAATGCAAAATGTTTAGACTGGAAGAAATGGTTGGGCCTTAGGGTAAGACCATGTAAAGGTTTGGGCCCAATTTGGAAAAATTGGGCCATATGTTGGTTTTTGATTCATAGTTTGACTTTTAGGCCTTGGATTGGGCCTTGAGTTTGAATCAAGCTAAAATGGGGGGTAAAGTAGCCTTTTACCCCAAACATGGACTTATGGATATATGTTGGAACCCAATTACTGATTGGGTGTTATTTTGTTGATTGACAGTTGTGGAATATGTCATCCAACAGCTAGAGTTTTGTCTGCGGGACTTCAGCAGTGTGAGGTGAGTTACCTTCCAGTAGAAGTGGGTCGAAGGCACCAATGCCGACCCACTAGTAGTTGATTATAGTTAAGATAATTGTATGTGTGATAATTGTCTGTTATGCCACTATCTGTTATGAGTTATGTGTTACTTGATGGGTTTTGAGCATTCTAACACTCATATGGTGTACATGCAACCCTAGATGCTTTGGATCTATGTTTTGTCTAATATACATGCAAACTTTCAAAATTCCAAAGCATCATCCTAACTAGCATACAATGGAGTAACTATACTACAAAGTTCTAGTTAGATGACATTCCTTTTAGTGTAGTTGAAACCTTGAAGCTTTAAGAGCCTAGCACCAATAATGTGA